ATTCTATTCTATTCTATTCTATTCTATTCTATTCTATTCTATTCTATGTACACCTGGTGAAGATAGAGCAATTTCAAAGAAGACTTGATACCAATTGAATGATATAAATATTAACAATGATTAATTAGCAAACCAGTTTGGTATTGTGGTTAAAATGCTGGCCACGAAATCAGGAGATTGAGTTCTAGTCCCATCTCAAGCATGAAAGGTAGCTGGATGACCTTGGACCAGTCACTCTTTCTCAGCCCAACTCATGTCACAGGGCTGTTATTTGGGGAAACTGGGAGGAAGAAGGAATATTGGGTAAGCATGCCACCTTGAGTTATTTATTTAAAAATAAATTATAAAGGTGAGGATATAAATTAATTCCAATTCATGATATCATTTCTCCCCCCCCGCCCCCAAACCAGCATCCTTCAGTTGTTTTGTACTGCAAATCCATATTTCTCCTCTCCTATGCGAACTGGAGATTATAGAAGTTGACAATGAATGCCTTTGAAGGACATCAAATTGGGGAAAACTTTTTTAAGACCCGAAGCCTTAATAAAAAGAGGATAAAATGAGGTAAGCCTATCTTCATGATCCAAGTGTGAATTAGATTAATGATCAAACAAGATGAACCAAAGATCAGGTAGAACGTAATGGCTTGAGAAAATATATTAATAGTACTTTTCAGTCGTAACATCCTTATCCTCCCGATAGAATCAACAGAGAGAGGATGTTTGGACTTAGCAAACAGAGATGACAAATATCAAAGGTGTGGTCACAGAGATCCTGACATTGCTAAAATATATGAGGATTCAAAGCATAAAGGAATGTGAACAAACTTTTCTGCAACTTTTTAAAGCAACTGCTGCTTATCACAAACCATGCAGCTAGCTTCTACTATATGTTATGCCAGAAAGCATCCTAACTGCTTTAAATATTTGCAGACAAATATCATGTTCACTGTCCAGTTGCTCTGAAACACCATTTTTTTTTAAAGTTCAGTCTGAAGTATCATACAGTCCTAAAGGACCCAATAATGGACCTGATGTTTTGGGGTTCTGGTAGATTGGCTTATGCCATACAGTACACTGGTATAGCCAGGGATGGGATTCAAATTTTGAAAGAACTGGTTCTGTGGGCGTGGCTGTCTGGGCATGGCCATATGACTGGGTGGGCATGACTTCTTCTTTTTTGGTCACAAACACCACCACCTCCATTTTTGAGGCCTTCTGGGCCTCAGAGAAGCCTCCTGGGGGGGTTGTTTCTGCTCCCAGAAGGCTTCCCTGGGGCTCAGGAAGGAAAAAAATGGAGCATGGGGGGCGCAGAGCACCCCGCTGTGCTCCGTTTTGGGGCCTTCTGCACCTCAGGGAAGCCCCCCGGGCAAAGCAGTAAGTAAGTGAGGGGAATCCCGGCACAGCTGATCATAGGAACAGCTGATCATCAGGAGGGAAACAAAAAGAAATACCTTATAGAGTGACTGAGTGGGGAAAAATGCAGTCTGCGATGTCGGGCATGCACACAATGTTGCGCATGCACGATAAGGACTGACTGGCGGGGAGGGGCGGGGCCAGCCAGGGGCACGATTTGCTGGTTCTCTGAACTGCATAGAATCATAACAACCAGGTCTATAGAACCGATCCGAACCAGTAGAATCCCACCCCTGGGTATAGCCCACACCATTTTCCCTTCAGTTGGGTTTCCAAAACTGCACAAAGTATTTAGATCGCATGCTGATCTATCTTTGTGTACAGGTAGTCCTTGAATTATGACCACAATGAAGCCCCAAATTTATGTTGCTGAGCAAGGAAGCTGTTAAGTGAGTTTTGCTCCCTTTTCCTCACACTTGTTAAACAAATCACTGGAGTTTTTAAAGTGAATCACACGGTCATTCAAATGAATCCAGCTTCCATCATTGACATTGTCAGAAGCCAGCCCTGGAACAGTGGAACTGTCACAAATATATGCCAATTGCCATGTGCCTGAATTTTGGCCATGTGATCATGGAGATGCTGCAATGGTGGTAAGTATGAAAACTGGTCATATGTCGCTTTTTAAAATGCCACTGTAACTTCGAAAGCTCCTTAAATGAATGGTTGTAAGTTAAGGAGCACCTGTACTGTATTCACGTCATGGGCTATATAAATATGTCATGAAAAGCAAACAAACCCAATTTTTTTATAAATGCTTGGGGGAGGTATAAGAAAAATTAAAAAAAAAGAGAACAGTGACATTACTCTAAATATATGTAAAGGTCCCTGGGAAGATAAAAGCCATCTGAGAAACTGCAGTTCATTGCAGAAGGCAAAGAAGTTTGATACTCGAGCCTTGTGTTCCCGCGTAGCCTGGATTAATTGCTTTGGGGGGATGCTCTGGGAGTGACATTTCTCTGCAGACCACCAAAATTTTCTCATGGACCACCAGTGGACTGCAGCCCACCGGTTGGCAACAACTGCTGTAAATCACTTGTAAAGCCCTGGGAAGCAGTATATAAATCTAAGTGCTATTGCTATTATTAATCTATCACTTTATGAAGGTTTTAGCAAGAATGTAATTAAATACAAGATGCAAGCTAGTATTGCAAAATGTGGTATTTTGTAATTGCATGCCTTCTAATCCACAAGAAATAAACAACTACCACTTATTTAACTTTTCAGGAAGAGCAGCCAATGGCTCATTTGGCTGAGAGCTGCTTCAGCAAATGTACTCTTAATTTGCATTCCCTCATATATTTGCATAAAATATCACCTTGCGCCCTAGACTGAAATACACTGTCACAAACTAATCCAAAAATCAAAATCCAGCAATAGACAGACATGAAGAAAAATGGAACACAGGCATAATCACTAGTAGGTACAGGATAGGGAATATTTGGCAACAGCCACACAGAAAAAAAAAACCTCATTAATTCCAGGCAAACTTTGCTGAAGACATGATTCTATTATAGAAGACGGGGGAGGACTTTGATAAACAGATAAGAGGCTGTTAAAGGCAAAATGCAGAAGTCACAGAGATAGGAGGAGATAGGAGGAACTGATAGTAAATAAACTTATCTAGAGGGGAGCAAGAGATAGTAGAAGATTTAAGAGTTTTGAAACCCCCCTGATGTCAACTAAGCCTTCAAACTGAATAGTAACAAATACCAGCTTCCTAGTGAATGTAGCTTAGTTTAAAATGACTACTAATTTGAATTTTTAGGAGCATTGTAAGCTGTCCCACACTTGGTTTAGGTGTAGAAGTATACACCTTTTGAGTTTGGAATTGGGGTTTTTTTGAGATTTTGCTGTGACAAAAAAAAATCACAGCAGCATGAAGGAAAAGAAAACTTAAAATCTTTCAAAACTGAACAAAGAGTACAAATAGGAAGGCTGCAATAAACAGGCAGTCAGAATCAGTTAAAACCAGCCAAATGATGGAGGGAGGGAGGGTGGGAAATCTGTCTTAAAATTCTTCCAAGGTAAGTGATTCATAGATGTCTGAGTTGATAGCTCCCCTAGTAACCTCAGCCTGAGAAGTATCTATAAATGCTGGTGGAGAGAAAAAGGCATACTCATAAAACCTGAAAGGCACCACATTAGGGGAAGGTTGCTTTGGCATAGACTAGATGAATTTGTGTGTCTCCAGACGTGACTGAGTCCTAGCTCCTATATAGCCTTCGTTAGTTTAACTAGCTGGTGAGAAAAGATGCTGGACATTGTAATTAAGCAACTTGAGACGACTCAAATCCAAACAATAGCATGTGTTCGGTACTTTCCAGTTGGCCAAATTAACTTAATATAAAACATGCCCCATGACTTTTGTACCTTGGAAACTAATTTCCATACGAGAGATAATTTTTTACTAGAGTAGACTAGACTTGGCTTTTTATGTGCAGTTCCCATAGTTTATCTAAGGAATCTTTGTAGCATTTTAAATGTGAGATAATAAAATAGAATAGAATACTTTATTGGCCAAGTGTGATTGGACAGACAAGGAATTTGTCTTGGTGTAAATACTCTCAGTATACACAAAAGAAAAGATACATTAGTCAAGAGTTGGTAATGCACACTGAACATCCCCACTACAGAAAGAAAACTTTACATTATTGGTCCTTATTTCTTTAGACTTCCAAGGATTTCATACTGTTCTTCAATACTCCATCTTTGAAATATTATTATTCTTGTTATTTGTGCAACTGGGTTCTTGGTTTTCTCACTGATAGGCCCCAGTATGTGCGAGACGGTACTAATATTTCTAACACCATGTTCTTTAGCACCGGTTCTCCTCAGGGCTGTGTCCTAAAGTCCACTATTGTTCACCAATGCTGACCCATGATTGTTGTGCAGGGTTTGTTACCAACCATATTGTGAAGTATGCAGATGATACAACCGTGGTGGGCCTTATTCAGGAAGATAATAAGTGAAGTGGGCACAGCAGCGCCAGCATTTTCTGCATCTTATGTGAAGAGCCCATCTTCCTTCCTTTATCCTTACCACTTTCTATAGACTAGGGATGATTGAAAGCATCCTGTTGTATTGCATGAATGTTTGGTTTGGAGACATCACCATTTCAGACAGGAAGGCTGTGTGTGTGAGAGAGAGAGTGGTGAGATTATTGGAAATTTATTTCCTTCTCCCCAGGACATGGCCACAGTGGAGCCCAACATTTCTGTTAAGTGAGACATTTGTGAAGTGGGTTTTGCCCCATTTACCACTTTTCTTGCCACCGTTGTTAAGTGAATCACCACCGTTGATACGTTAGCAACCTGGTGTTTAAGCAAATCTGGCTTCCCCGTTGATTTTGCTTGTTGGAAGGTCGCAAAAGGGAAGCATCTGACCTGGGACACAGCAAAGGTCACAAATACGAACCAGTTGCCAAGCATCTGAATTTTGATCATTGGGGGATGCTGCAAAGGTCATAATTATGAAAAACGGCCATAAGTCACTTTTTTCAGTGCCATTGTACCTATGAATGGTTGCTAAATGAACCATTGTTAAGTCGAGGACTAACTGTATAGCATATGTGTGTGTATGTGTGGGTTAGAATGTAATACTGCACACTAATTCTGCCCACAGCCAGAAGTTCGATCCTGACTGGCTCAAGGTTGACTCAGCCTTCCATCCTTCCAAGGTTGGTAAAATGAGGACCCAGATTGTTGGGGGCAATAGGCTGACTCTGTAAACCGCTTAGAGAGGGCTGTATAGCATTGTGAAGTGGTATATAAGTCTAAGTGCTATTGCTATATGTGTGTGTGTGTGTGTGTGTGTGTGTGTGTTGGGTTCTGCAATCCAACAAGACAGACACAGACTTCAGAGGATAATTAGGACTGCAGAAAAAACAATTACTACCAACCGGCCTTTGATCAAGGACCTGTATACTGCACGAGTCAAAAAGAGGGCTGTGAAAATATTTACAGACCCCTCACATCCCAGACATAAACTGTTTCAACTTCAAAACGACACTATAGGGCACTGCACACCAGATCAACTAGACACAAGGACAGTTTTCCCCCGAATGCCATCACTCTGCTAAACAAATAATTCCCTCAACACTGTCCAACTATTTACAAAGTCTGCACTACTATTTCTATTATTCCTCCCATCCTTCCTTTCACTCATCTCCTCACACTTATGACTGTATGACTGCAACCTTGTGACTGCAACCTTGTTGCTTGTTATCCTCATGATTTTTATTGACTGTTTCCTAGTATGATTTGATTGCTTTTGATTATTATTACCGTATTTCCCCATGTATAAGCACCCCCTTTGTATAAGCCACCCCCCCAATTTTTAGACTGTGAAGTTTTGAAAAAAATATTTTATTAGAGAAACAAGTTATGAAGAAAGAAAATTTACAAAGAAACAAAATTCGACGTCTAGATCTACAACTTCGGTCATGACGCCGAAAGCGGTGCGGGCGACGCTAGCAATCTACGCATCGGAATGAGAGTAGGAACGAAGCATTCAGGCCGATGCCTAGCGTATGCATTTCTATCGCGTACTCGCACTCGTAATCGTATCATCACGTACAATTTTTACAAAAAAGTATAGCATACTGTTGGAAAACCAGTTTATTCCTACTTTATTATTTTATGCATTTTTCACGTATAAAAAGTGTACCTGCTTTGTATATGCCACCCCCCTACTTTTTGGGCTTGAAAATTTTGGAAAAAAGGGGTAGCTTATACATGGGGAAATACGGTAAGTGTTGTAGCGAATAATTCTTGACTCTTGCTGAGTGCATCTTTTCTTTTATGTACACGGAGAGCATTTGCACCAAGACAAATTCCTTGTGTGCCCAATCACACTTGGCCAATAAAGAATTCGACCTCATCATTGAGGAATAATGAGAAAGATTTAAAAACTACCAAGTTTAAATGTACATACATAAGTTCTTTATCTTTCTAAATGCAAAATGTTCTGACAGAAATGTATGTCAAAGAAGACCACCACGTTCAATGTTTTTAATGCTTGTATCAATTAAATTTATTTATTTTTAAAAGAGAGAATTCTATTCTATAGGTAGGTAGGTAG